AGTTATGAGCCTGAGCCTTAAGAAGGCCTACTAACTTATGCTTTTGCACCTCAGGGAGTCCTAAAAGCTGGCATGTAAGGAATCTGACTCAGCTGGAGCGACCTCATGGAGAGGCCATATGAAGAGGGAGAGGACCTAAGAAGACATGGAGAAAGCGAGGGGTGCCCAACTCTCCCATCATTCCAGCAGAGCTCAACCTTACAGCCATCCCACCAAGGCACTAGGTATAGGAATGAAGCCATCTTGGATGTTCCAGCACCAGCCACCATCTGACTGCAGCTACATGACAGACCTTAAGTAAGGCCAACAGAAAAACGATCCACCTGAACCCCAGTCCACCCACAGAACCGTGAGAAATCATAAACTGGTTGCTATTTTAAAACATTAGGTTTGGGGGTAGTTTGCCATTTAACAATAGATAACTGAAAAGGTGGCAAGAGAATTAAAAGGATTCTGACTATGTGAGGTTATTTACCTTGTCTGTCTGCACTACCAACATACCTTTTTTCAACAGTCCTCTTTCCTAAGTCAGAACCACTTCTATGAAATATGATGCTGCTAACCAAGTTTTCACATTCCCGTACAAATTCTTTAAATCAGACTGGAGTTAGGACTGAATGCAGAGATGGAACAAAGGCTCCTAATAGACACTGATGTTTAAAAGAGTTTGGTATCCAAATGCATTACCGCTGCTGCTGCTACACAGGCTACTCCTGCTGGCAGTTGTTCTTCAGAGCCAGCCTGCCAACAAGAAGGTCAAAACGCCTCGCCTAAACACAAGACTTACAAATTTGGGATCTTAAGTATGATGTCATGTCTTGAAATGATAAGCTGGCAAAGAAAATAAATGGCATTTTGTAAAGATGTGCGCCGTTTTCATGTTTACGCTACTTAAGAGGAAGGTTCTAATAAGTCATCGGCTATGTTCCTTTAAAGGGAAGTTTTATAACTGAGATGAATCACAACTGCAAAAGATCAAAGTTAAAAAACATCAGTGATGCCACGGGGTACTTTTTAATCTTGTAATGAGTGATGATCATGTGCTCTTATGAAGTTAGTCCAACTGCCAACGCCAGATGTGTATATTAAGAAAAGAAGTTGTTTGTGATGTGACAGCAGTGGTTCAGCTGCCAGAGACAGAAAACATAGAAGGATGAAAACTTTCGGATTTTTTGAGTGAAAAGCAAGTCTTGGCAGATGTGTTGATAAGCAGGGCCTCATAGTGGGGTACTAGTGCCACAGCATCCTCTCTTGGACTTTGCTGCAAACAAACTGCGTTTATCATCAGTTCTGCACAGCTTTACCTGGGCAGCATGAATATGTGCTCAAGGCACGATTTATAACACTTATTAGCATCATTTACCACTAAGCAAAAACTAGTAAAGCCACCTGCAGGGGAAAAAAGTGATACACTAGGCAACAGAATCTAGATGGTATCTGTTTCCTGGAAGCATGCTATAAGCAAAACTCTACAGCAAACTACTGACACGAAGAAAATTGTTGAAATAACAGCTAACACTTAATGAGCACTTACTACATGACAGTCATTGTGCTGCGCATTTTACATTCATTACATCATTTAACAACCTTACAGAAACTGATGAGGAAGATACTATTATTATCATTCTCACTTAAAAGTTGAGAAAACCAAGGCAAAGAGAAGTTAGGTAACTTGTCTGCTTCCATGCAGCTAATAAGTGGTGGGTTTGGGATTTCAATCCAAGCAGTCTGACATAAAGACCCAACTAGTTAACCCAGAACTTGACCTTGTCTAAACAGCTGAGCCACCAAAAGCAACCTTTTCAATGTATACTCAGATCTCCTGCAGAAGGAGTAAAATTCTATTAATAGGAACCAATAGTACAAAATCCTCAGCTCCTTCAAACCACTACAGCAATAAACAAAAGTAAACTATTCCTATGACAAAAAACCACTACTTAAGGGATTATAATTTGGGGGAGAAGAAGCTAAAACAATTGCTATTGTCTTTTTTTCACCCCTCAGAAAAGCCTTTTACTAAATAAAGCCTTTCTCTGTTAGAGGTCCACAAAATAAACTACTTTGAAATCTAGAGCAAGGCAAGCTATGATTTGTTAGCCAAATCTGGCCCACCACATGTTTTTATAAATAAAATTTTAGTGGAATACAGGTTGAGTAATCCTAATCTGAAAATCCAAACTCTGAAATGTTCCAGAATCAAAAACTTTTTGAGCACCGACATGCTGCCACAAGTGGAAAACCTCACACATAGCTTAACAAATATTTTGTTTCATGCACAGATTTCAGAATATTGTATAAAATTACCTTCAAGCTATGTGTATAAGGTGTATATGAAACATGAATAAATTTCATGTTTAGATTTGGGTCCCATCCCTAAGATATCTTATTATGTTTATGCAAAAGTTCCAAGATGCAAAAAAATCCAAAATCTGAAACATTTCTGGTCCCACACATTTTGGATAAGAGATACTCAGCTTGCATAGCCGTGACCATTCACTTATGTATTTGCCTAAGCTGTTTTTGCCCTACAATGGCAGAGCTGAGTGCTTGTGACAGAGACTACCACATGGCCCATAGAGTCAAAATTATTTACTATCTGGCAATTTGCAGACAAAGTTTGCCAACCCGTGTTCTAAAGGATCCCCCACTTAACATTATATACACCAACCAATTAAAATCCTATTATACCCGCTGCTGAAGGGAATTGAAAACTCTACGTCTCCCATACCTGAGAGCATTAAAATTGAAGAACAGTATTGAAAACAGTGCTATACTACAAACATTCAGTGCCCAGCATGACCAAGTGCAGGATGGAAGGAAATAATCTAGAACAGAGTCCAGGTTGTAGGACCAAGCTGTCCCATCCTATGTCCAGACACTGACTTTGGCAAGTCACCTCACGACGTCAGGTAAAAATGTTATCACATTTTCACAGATACTTTTGGTTTACAAGAAATGTTACTCAGGCTTATCTAGGGCAGGTGATCTGCCACTCACAGAGCTGTATCTGCTCTCCCTTTCCACTCTCAGCACTCTCAGCACCACCCAAAACCTGAACTCAGGTCATACATATGCCACCGGCCCCTCTACTTCTAACCCTCACTGCTTTCAGAGCACTTCTCTGCTTTTACAGGGCAGTGATTCTATCCATAATTAATTCTGCCAAAAACCTTTCTGAAATGAGGCACTGCTATCCATGTTTGAAGTAGAAGTGACTTTCTCAAAGCCACCCTGCCTCCTCATGTTTTCCCCTATCTTTCATAACAGGACTTATCATTCCCTGTTTCCTCTCCCAACCATCAACTCTGGAGCATCAACTCTGATGTTTATGTACATACACACACACATAGGGAGACAGACACCCACATACACAAAGACAGACAGACAGACAGACACACACACACACACACACACACACACACACACACACACACAGTAATGGTTTTTCCAGGAACGGAGAAAGGCAGCAGAGATCAGCAGGAAACATCTTTAAAGATACTAGTGGTGTTAAATGCTAAAAGACTACTCTCCTGAGTTATGCGTTACTAAAATGAATGCCCCCGCCTTTTCAGGAACTCAAGAGCTAGTTTGATAGAAGATTAGAAGATGGCTTCCATCATAAGGCATCATTCTCAATTTATGGCCATCCAGAAAAGTCAGACAAAGCCCCAAATCAGGCTGACAGTCCTTCTCTGTTCCATTACCTGCACTGCATAACCAATGGTCCGCAGGACTGGAGACTGGGGCTTACACATATGTGTACAGCAACCACCTAATAGGACAGTCCCAAACTGAACAGACAGGGCCAGCACTGACCCAACATGATGAACCAGGAAGAATGTTATACACATGTAAGGAGGAATAAACAAAACCTCAAAAACTTGCTTTTGAGGCAGGAAACCTCCCTAGTTGAGGCAAGCAGTCAGCCTTTGTGAAAAGAAACAGGCAAAAACTACAGGAGCCACCATATGTTCCCACTGCTCAAAGCTATGCTACCTGGGTAGAGGCAAACCCTTACCAGCCCTTTCTCTCATTCTATGGAAAGAAAAGATATGCTACTCCCATAGTCCAGGCAGGTGCTGCTATAGAACAAATACTTCTGCCAGCTGTTTATCCAGCACAAACCAAATTAAACTCCCTAAATGCAATGGTCAGGACTCCAATGTGTAAGTATTCAGTCAGCAAAGTCAGAGTTTTATATGATGTGCCCATTGACACAGAATTGTTCATGGTTTCTGTATCCAATTATCTTTAACCTGCTAGGCTGAGTTTGTTCAAAACAGTTTAGGGTGGGTGACTGGCAGGAAAGCAAACTTGTTTCAATTTAGATTTGGGGGGGGAAACAGATTGGCCCAAATAGATTATGTGCACTACCTTAAACTGACAGCCAGTTAAACTTTCTGGATGTCTAGACAAACAAACCAAAATAGGATTTAAACACGGTTTGACTCTATCTGTTAAAAGAAACTACCTATAACAATTATTAGAGCATGACCAAACAACAGTGTTGTAACAATCAAGCAAGTTATCATTTGCAAATAAATTCTTTGTAATTAAGCAGTGTGCTCTTTATAAAGGGAATTGAGTGGGCGAGTTAAAAAGCTAAAACACATTCTTAGGCCATGGGAAACATACGCAAGTGCTTTTTGACTAAGCTCAAGATTTTTAAGTTTATTGTTTTCTTCCTCAGCTCTCATGGGTCTATTCTGCCCTGACTCTTATGCACAATGGATAAGCACAATTTCTTAGCAAATAAATAGTGACTGAATAATTGTTCACTCACTTCCCAAAATTAAAGAGGCCTTAACAGTTTGTGAAACTGTAATTTTATTTTCTAACTATGACGTTCTATTAATTGTCCCTTACTAAAAATATATGCAGATGGCAAACTTTGCAAAGACACTGTGGACATGAAAGTAACACTACCTCATTTGGAATCGATTCCTCATAGGGTCTCCAGAAACTCTACTACTATTTTCAACAGAAAGGCAAATACTTACTTCTGGGTTCCCGAGGTCCATCCACTGTAACTTTAATTGCTCTGTGATAGGTGGCTACTTGGGGGGGATTGGTGAAGACAGTTATGGTCAAGGTGAAACTCTTGCCTGCAGATGTAAAAGGGGAAAATACATAGTGAATATGAAAAGGTAGTATTGATGATTATACAGCAGCATAGATGTCCAAGTTGCATTCAAGCACCTCTGAGGAGGCAGTGAAACAAAGACAGGAGTCAGGACTTCTCATTCTAAATTGGAAATCCTCTGATGACCACTTTAAGTACGAAATTTGCTTAGTGTTAATATCATCATCCTCACTGCAGTACTATGCAGGAAAACTCCACTTCCAAAAATGCTCCTCAGTGGCAACAGTTGTAATGAAAATAAAAACTCTGATGTACTTGAGAAAGGTTCTTTTTCAGTTTTCCCCAACATCAAGAATACATCCAAGGACAGACAATTTTAGAAGCCTTTATTTAGGATTAGGTCATGACCTCATGAGAGAACAATAGTAAATCATTGTTGATTATGTTATTTATTTCACATGGCTTTAACATTTCATTTGGTTAACTGCACTACAATAAGAAGATGAAAGAGGAAAGTTCTTATGGGAATCATTTTAACAGGAGCCAGTGTCTCCTGTCCTGGCCTTAATGTGCCTGTGGTATGATGATTTCATCATTACTGGAACAAAGTTTTTCTCCTCCCTTCACCCCTCCCCTAACTTATATCCCTGCTGTTAAATCTTGAAATAACTCCCTGTGACTTATTTTTTGCTAAATGAACATGACATCTCTCAACATAAACATGAATTTTTACTTTTAGCAGAGGGTGTGTTTTGTTAAAATATTACATCTGATGCTTCAAATTAATAAGCTAAAAGTGATGAATAAGACGGAAGAAAAAGAGACAGGGAAAAGTTTGATAGATTTGGATGTCTGCTTTCTTCAGAAGAAGATACCATTTTCTGTTACACAGACTCACTGACAGTTGTAATCAGTTAGATTTGCAACGGTTAGTCATGTCAGATAGTCAAAACTGCAAACTGTTACAAGACAGGAAAAGGTGGGCGTGAAACAGTGACTCAATAAAACATTCGGCAATCTTGAGCCAGAGTACTCATTTAGTCTGCTCCTGTAACAGACCTTTAAAAAGCTCATTTTGTTTTGCTTTGTTTTTTGGTCAGGGACTTTTTTTTCCTTTACTGAAAGCTGTGGATATTAAATCAAAACACAAATCTTAGACAATATGTAACAATGCAAAGTTTAATGCAATCTTTTCAAAGTTTAATATGGAACAGGTTATATACAAGGCTTAACGTAGAACAGGTCTTTGGCTGTCAAGTCCAGTGAATGGGTTTTCTTTTCAACCCAGACCATGTAAGTTCCTAAAATCTGTTTAAGACATACATAATTTGTTAGTGAGCATATACAGTTTTAAGTCTCCTTGGCTATACTTTTTCATGGCCAAGGGAGGAAAAAAAGAAAAGTCAAGACAGGAATTGGAAGGGGAGTATTGAATAGGGGAAGATGAATATTAATTCAAAGTCTATTAAGGGCCAGCCACTTCATACCCATTATCTCATTTAATCCTCCCCAGCTAGATTTATCATCCTCATTTCACAAATGAGGAAGCCAAAGCCCAGAGCAGTTTAGTAATTTACTCAAGTTTACACAACTAATAAGAGGATAAAAATCAGGATATAAACCCAGGTCTTTCAGACCCTAAAATTAATGCGCTCTCTCGCTCTCTCGCTCTCTCTCTCTCTCTCTCTCTCTCTCTCTCTCTCTTAAAATCCTGTCACCTTGGCAGAGAACATTTAAAAAATTAATAGGTAGTTTATTTCTAGATGTGTCCCAATCAGCTCTATGTGCCCAAGAAACAGTAAAAATAAATTGACAAATGTAATATCTTAGCCAGGACGATGAAAGCATCTGTTTTCAAAGTGTTATTGACATATCATATTTCATCCACTATATACTGGATTTAAATAATTTAATTGTTAGGGAACTGAGGCTTTATTATAAACATTAAGACTAACCAGAAGAATAAGCCAACCAGAGTCTAAACTAGTTACAAGAAAACTGAAAGTCTACAGAAATGGAGATTAGAAACTTAAACAGAAAGCCACTGGACTCAGATCAAGACCTTAAAACAATGGAAAAATCTAGAGGAGTGAAACAGCTGAATCTCTAGATTAAAAGTTAGTTTACATTAAAACATCTGAGAATGCCATTTTGGGTTGAATTAGTGGTCCATGGACCCAGGACTGAAATTTCTAACAGTAGCTCCAATGGCTGTGTTTGAAAGCCAGTTGTCGTCCATGGCACTAATCTTAATAAGTCAAAAATATATAGAGATCTCAATTATCCTTAGTGCCTCTAAATAATCTGCTAGAGATATTGTTCATGAATTATCTAAAATGGTTTGGGGAATATTTCTATTTTAGACTTTTACAACTTCCCTAGGATATTAAAAATCATTTATGCTTCTACCAAATTCAGAGAAATGCCTCATGTAGGAACAAAAACCAAATACAAAATTTACCCATCAAGTATAAAGCATCTAAATGTTCAGAATGGAATCAGTTTTCAATTAAAAAAATCTTTATGAAAGAGATGGGTTTGAGGCAGAAAGCAAGTATTTAAATACAACTATGATCTTCCAAAGTCAAATCACACATTCATGATTTCTTTAAGCTTTAAAAAATTCTGAATCCCATTTTTTTATCACTTCCCACACTGATAAAAATGCAAGTCTCACTTAAAAATGCAAGCTCTTATTTAGGGAGCTAGCAGTCACTAGATAACTATCATCCACAGCTTCATCTAAGAAGTAGTTCTGCAATATGTCCTCAAGTCATATATTTTCTAAGGTAAACATAGGGAACTATCATTGATCTACAGTTCCAACCTGGCCTAAGGGGCTGCCAAGAACATTCAAGAGGGATACGTAGGACTGTTAGCAGCTTTCAATGGACAAAGTGCCATGCTCTGTACACTGTAGAGGCTTAAAAATGCTTGTAAGTTAAAAGTAGCATGATTGATGTCAAAAGAGAGGAAGCACACCAAAAAAATTTAAGTATTTTAAATATTTCTGCTTAAAATATAAAGGAGAATAAAGGAAAGACAACTAAAAATCATAATCCAGCCGGGCTCGTTGGCTCAGCCTGTAATCCCGCGCCTTTGGGAGGCTGAGGTGAGTGGATTACCTGAGCCCATGGGTTCAAGACCCACCTGGGCAGGCGAGACCCCATCTCTACAATAAAATCAAAAAATTAGCCGGGCGTGGTAGCGCGCGCCTGTAATTCCAGCTACTCAGAAGGCTGAGGCGGAAGGATTGCTGGAGCCCAGCAGGTCGAGGCTGCGGTGGCCAGGAGCGGCCACTGCACTCCAGTCTGGGCGACAGAGTGAGATTCCAACTCAAAAAAAACAAAAAAGAAAAATCATAATCCATTCCTAACTTAATGCAAGTTTTGTTGATGCTCTACGTTTATTCCACAGCACTTTCAAAAGCTGTGGTTATAAACTATTAAAGTCAAAGTAAGTAGTGAGGTGACTCCTTTATAAATCTAAGGTTGTTTTTCAATCTTGGAGAGTTTATATTTCTATCAGTGGAAAGAAAAAAGTGTAATGGTATTTTTTATTTTTTAACACTACTGAAAATAGAAAATTTTTAAAGCTGGGAAAGAAAATACAATAGTAGCAGCATGTTGATCCAGATTTTAAAACTCAAGAGAAATGTAGAAGTGTGAAAATTGAAGAGGAAGCTGGAAAGAAATAAAGCAGGTCAGGTACAAAGGGTACAAAGGCAGGTTAAGGGTTTCCTGCCACCGAAAAACTGACCCTTTTTTTTTTCAGAGTGCTGTCTCTTATCAGTGTTCTATCCTTTTTTCTTCTTCATTTCAGCTTGATATTACTGTTTCCTCTCATACAATGTTAGTGTAGTGATATAAAAATCTATTATTAGTGATAAATCAATTTTTCTTTCTCTCTCCACCCGTTCCCCCTACCCCCCATCTAAATCTTGAAGACAAGTCTGGACCAATTTCTCCATCCTGCCTCTGGCAGCAGACTGTAGCATTTCAGATCCTCCACCAAGTCCCGGCTGCTTCAAAGGAAAAATCCTACTTTCTTCAGTTAAGATCATAAGAAATATAGGGGGAGGGGGTCAGCTCTGTTTGGACATAATTACACTTCATCAAAAGAAGCTTTCTTCATCTTCCATGCGTGAAAAGTCTGCAAGCAGTTAAGTCTGTCTTTTTTTTTAAATATAAAAATTGCTATTTGGGAAACCAGCCAAAACTCAGAAAGCCAATATAGTAAAACAGTGCACACCCTTTGTTTCTCTTTGAAGTTTCTTAAATAAATATGTTGAGGGTTTACAAAGTACACTATCACTTTGCCATAGTTTCTACTCAAATTGATCAGAAAAAAGTTATGCAGCATCTATATAATTCAAAAGCAAGATAAATGAAAATACTAGCTGGAATCCGCAAAGTTAAATTAAGTATAGCATCCAATCCTTTAAATACTAGAATTCATTACTCTAGTTAAAGAGAAAATAATATTACATAAGAAGAAAGATACAATTCAGAGCACACAGGTAAATCATCATGTTCACATTGTTCTTGATTCTAAGTTTAAAAAGAGAGAGAAACTTTAATTGTACTATGGATCTGCATTAGTAACTGAGGAAAAAAAAAAAAGAATGAAGACACACATACATACTCCAAACCTAATCAGTCAATAGTGATGTAAGATGTGTCTTTTTTTTTGTCTTCTAATGAAAGTAAACTAAACCTGATACAGAGATAACCCCCTTTAGTTTTGATTCTACCAGAGGCTGTGAGCCTCATTTTATTTCAAACAACCTGTCAGTGACAGTATCTCATTAGCATGAATCATTTTTTTCAAGTTACAAAGTACAACTTCTTGGCCCTGTTCCTAGAAAGTAAACTAAAACTACTCATCGGAAACAGCCTTGCTTGAATTTCCCTTATCAAGTTTTTACAATGGTAATAATTTGACATCTGATCCAAACTAAAGAGCAATTATTAGACATGGTTTAAAAATTGATGTTTCTCATTTCCTAATTCAAACCTGGGCTGCAATGATTCCAGAGGACTTTATTTCATCTCAGTCTAAAGTGGTCTATTTTCTCTCTTATTATCTAAGTACTTAAAATGGAAATATTAGATTCAATAAATTAGCATAATAGTTCTAATAGGTGCGTAATTAGTAAAAGTCTCTCTATAGAATAAGTTAATAAAAGACAAAACATTGATCTTGGAGACCGTTTTTTAATTAACCCCATTTATCAAATACCTGCAAAACTCCTAAAAGGGATTATTTTCTGTTTTATGATTTCTTAAGGATTCCTAATATTTGAATATGGATTCAGATGGTAGGAATCCTTACATAGTGTGAAACTATTAGAGTCCTGATCATCCATCTGTCTAGGCAACTTTACATAGTCATTCTAACATAAGTAATACATTATTCACTTATTCAAATGAAAAGTCCTCTGTTAAAAAAGCATGATTTTTAAACAGATTCTTATTATAAGAGCAAATCAAATCATACAGAGGTAACATATGTGACAAGTGAAAAGCATTATGCTAGCTGTACTTGCTACAACTTAGAGTACAATTGATATTATCAGGAAATTGATCCAATGCATTCATTTTTCTTTCCCCTTTACCACTCAATTTACTCAGTGATTTGACTCCTCATAATTCAGAAGTTGATCCTCCAACTGTTCTTTTCTCTACCTTATATGCTCACACCCAGTGAAATTAGGAGCTAGTTCTTCTGAAAGCACTGTTTGAATTTTCAATATCATAAAACAAATGAAAAAGGCCTGAGTACTCAGAAAAGCACTCAACTTCATCTGGATGTATTTAAATCAAATCTTCAGTAATTCTGTTCAGAAAAAGAAGGTGCTGATTTGTACACAGACTAGTCTACATTTCATCAGAGGATCCTAATGTGTTTATTCCATTATCAGTATTAAAAGTCAAGAAACCTACCTCGTCCACTCCGGCCCACAAATCTCAGATCGTTGAACCTTGCTACTTGGTTTTTCATAACAGCAGAGGCATTTCGGAGCTCAGCAGAATAATTTTCATCATTACCCGCCATGACAGTAACCACAGTCCCATCTGGTACCTCTCCAAGGGCTACCACCTACATAAAACAGGAAACACAGCAGCAATAATGGTACATCAGAAAAGCTTAAAAACAGAATAAATTCTCATTGTAAACGATGTGCCTTATCAGGACTTAGTGTTCTAGTCCAGTAATGGCAGGCAGGAATGAAGCATCTGTATAAGGCTTATGATGCCACTTCAAACAGACCAATGTTTCAGGGTCCACCCATTTCAAAGGCAGGCAAAATTTTCCCTCATTTGTTGTTGGATTCTTCACAGAATATATGTATATTTTTATTAAATCCCCATGTTAGATTGTCCACAGGAATTATGCCACAGAAGAAAGGCTGATGCCTCATCTGTAGATTGTATTGTACAGAATAAGGCATCACCTGTCTGCAGCCCTCCTCTCAGGGAAAGCCCTGAGGTGTGGTCTCATCCGGATCACAGGCTAAAAAATATCAAGTCTGATCAACTCTACAGAAGACTATTAGGTGAAACCCTGGAGTTACTAACTATAAAAAGTCCTAGATCCAGTGTGCTCTGCATTTCATCTCCTTCTAACAGAGCCAGAAATTCAGCTTTTTTTTCTTTTCCTTTTTTTTTTTTTTTTTGAGAGGGTCTCACACACTGGAGTGCAGTGGTGTGATCATAGCTCACTGTAACTTTGAACTCCAGGGCTCAAGTGATCCTCCCACCTCAGCCTCCCAAGTAGGTAGAACTACTGGTGCTTGCCACCACACTGGCTAATTTTTTTTAAATTATTTCTTTTACAGACAGGGTTTCACTATGCTGCCCAGACTGGTCTCAAACTCCTGGCCTCAAGAAATCCTTCTACCTCAGTCTCCCAAAGCACTGGGATTATGGCATGAACCACCGAGGCTAGTCTAGAAATTCAACTTTTAATGGCACTATAAATATTTACTGAATGCTCCCTGCAGTGTGATTCAGTGGGATATTCAAAGCCATCAAGAAGTTTAAAGTCTGGGTGCAGAATAAAAATATATCCCAGGCCAAAACAGATTCATGACAAATGAGAAAACATAGACAAAAAAATACACTCTTAGCCACACTTCTATCTTGTCCTGTCTGCCAACTTGGAATGACACATTTGCCTTCTTGATCTTCAACAGTTCATCTGAAGCAGATTAACCTAGCCAAGTAAGGCTCCAGAATAACCAGTCTTTGAGACTAACAAATGTTTTATCTGCTCCAAGACTAGAGATCAAAATGTAAATATATGCCTCTGAAGAACACCGAGCCTGGTAAGGGAATACTGGTAGGGGACCTTCCTCATTCGGCCTCCAGATGCTTTGGCAGTAAGTAAGCAACGGCCCTCCTAAAGTAGCCCACTGCTCTCTGTCAACAACACCCCTGTGTGCGTGCCTGTCTGGTAAACATTCTACTTATCTTTTTCTACTTCTAGTGCTACACCCTCCTATGTCAAGATTTCCATAAGACAATTCTAAGCATTTAATTCCATATTCCCAATACACTTGACATATACTGTCATTAAAGTAGATTTCTTACAGTGTGACAAAACATATACCATATCTATATTTTAGGGCTGCCATCCATGAACCCTATCCCAATGCCCTCCACTATATCCTTTCCTCCAGCCAAGAAAACAACCAGATGAATTAAAACCTGTCAATATTTTTACTTCCCTGACTTTTCTCTTTGGCTGTTTCTCACTTAGCATCCCTTCCATTGAGCATTTGGTTATTCAGTTCAAAATCATAAAGCCTTCCTTAAATTAGAGAACTCACTTTCCACAGCATGCCCCTATATTCAAGTGATCTTCATTTTAGGGGACACATATTAATAATCTACGACTACTTTTGATACACTAGCCCAAAGCTGAAGGACCTGTTGGTAGGAGTCCCAGATTGCATTAGTTTGGACACGATACGAGAGAAAGGCCCTCGTCTCATTTGTCATGTTCACCACTATATGTCCAGTTCCCAAAACAGTGTCCAGCACACAATAAGTGTTAGATAAATATTCTTGAAATAAATTAGTGAAAGAGCTCCATAAAAAGCCATACTTTCCACAGCATGAAGTCTGTGGGGGACTACCAGCTAAGCATCTGAGAAAACCTGTTAAAGCTGAGTCAGCATCACTTGCTAACAGCGATGTGTCCTAGCTCCAGGCTAGTTTTCTGGAAAACAAAACAAAAGGGAAAAAAAAACCCACGAATTTTCTGAGGGAATTATTACTAACTACCCTTTATCTGGAGAATATAGTTAGTCTCAATCTGAGAAGACTCCCAAGGTCAAGAGTAAATCCCTTGAGAACAAGACTTCCTCCCTGCATACTTGATCTAGTACTTCCAATGGCTACTGCATGTAGGTAATGCTACACTCCTGATGGAGACAATGTGCTTTCCAATTTTTCAAATTCACAATGCCAAAAAATGTGAACATTTGAAAATACTGAAATAATGGACTACATTTGCCAGGATTCATCTGAATGTTTGACATTTTGTACAGTCAGCATGTTGTGTTTTAGCACCTGCTGTGTGGCTTTCTATGTCAAAGTAAATATGGAACCAGTAAGCACATTCATAAAGGCAGGAGAAAAGCTGTACTGTTTAGAAGAGGATGAATACACTAAAAATCAAGAGGCTCCACTTTTTCCCCACTTCTGCCACATATCTGCTGTGACCTCACACAAGTAACTTCATCTCCAGGAACCACAGTTTTCCAATATAAATTGGAAAGTCTGCAAAATGTAGAAGATACTATATAAGTATAGAGTGTAATTATAATGATGTGCTTTTTGTAAGACGAGGAGGGTAACACAGTGTTCTGTTCCAAGTCTGCTGTCTGCTAAACATAGGCTTTTACTTATAAGCATCTTTAAAGGGTTCAAGTGAATATGTAATTCTTCACGTCATGTCCTGAGATGTTCTTTGGTGCTGTTGAGAGATATAGGATGACTACTGGTGGGTTTCACTCCAGTCTGACTAAACGTCAGAAAAAAAATAAAGAAATCTGCCCCTAATATAAAGGTTTTCAAGAGTTCTGAGATATTATTATTTTACTGCATATTTTTAACATAATGGATCTTTTTTTTTAGTTAGAAGAAATGGAAAATTGATTCAATATGGGAAAATATGAAAGAAAAGATCCCTAAGAGTGAAATACATAAATCCATTTTATTGTGCTTAAGCAGCATAATAATGACCATATTAAATAACGGTATGCTTTATATATCACATTTAACAAAACAAATAGATGATCACAAGTTGTGTGAGTCTTCCAGAAGACATAGAACAAGGCCTTAAAAAACTACTAACACAATGTAGTGACAACCTTTCCTGTTAAGGCTGAACTCTAGTTTAATGGCTAAATATATTGGGTTTTTTTTCTACTATTCATACTATCAAATCAGAATGCCCAGCATTTTTCTGAGGTGGAAAAACGTCTGTTAGAGGGGTGGGAGTACTGTATTTGACTTTATATCAATCAGAAGTATAATTATATGAGCGGGAGTTTTTTAAAAAGTAGGTCTCGGAAGCTAAAAATTTCCCTTGGAGATTCTCAACCGTGTCTATCTCAAAGAAAACCAAAAGAATCGAGAAATTCTTACATATTTAAAGTGTACCAAACCCAAGGATGGAAAACTATTTCAAGAGGTAAAATACAATTAGAAAATCACCCTTAAACTTGCTAGGATAAGCACGAATTAAAATTTGTTTCCATACTCTCCAATACAAAAGTACTGCTCTACGAAGAATAATTCATGATGAAACCTTAATAACTACATTTCTAGGTGTTTTTAAAATACAAAATCTACAAATTCAAGAAATTTCATAAGAAAGGGAGAAGTAATGCTCTGTCCTGACATTTCAGAATAGAGAAGGAAGTTCCTTTATTTATTGTACCTCACTTATAACTAACATTTACATCACATGATATGTGGCTTGTACAAAATAAAGTAGGATATTTAACTCTAGCAATGCTACTGAAATTTTGTCTGAGATTTCTTATGACTAAACTGTGAATCACTTTGAAAGAGGAGCAATGGAGAATTAACTCAGACCCTTAACATTGTTTCTGCGGTCTTATACGGAAATTAAAATTGCCCATGACATTTCTGCAGACAGAAGTCTAGTCTTAACTAATCAATTACTCTTACAGGCCAACATCGTTTGGCACATTGTACTTGCAGTATAATTGAAATATAATTATTTTTCAACATAGAATCTGATCGAATCTTCCTTTGTAATAAAAAGAGAAGTGAGACGAATTGCAAAAAACAAAAATGTTATTCGTATGATGATTATTTAAAGATAAACAAACTATGCAAAGGTTTTAAGAAATACCACAGTTAATTTTTTAAATTTAACCTTGAATTTAGGAATAGCCAATTGAATTCTAGAGAAAAAATACAATTTTCAAAATTTTAAAAATATATCAAAGAGAAATTTTGATTAAAATTACTTCAATTTAAGCCAGCAATTTATGTACCATGTATCAAGCTGGTTTAGATAATCTAACAACAGATATTCTGGAATTTTGAAAGGATACAGACAATAATACCAAAGGGGGAAAAATAATGAAAGATATCTACCATATCGTTTTTCAAATGTAAGTTTTCTGAACAATTTTTAAATATTTATTTTCCATCTAAAATTATTTGTCTCAACTACTTTGCCAATAAGTTTTATATATTCAATCCTAAAATATTTAACTTTAAGTAAGTTTTATTGCAATTAAAAGCATAACACAAAAATGTGTGTCTTCATACAAAATGAAATCTATTATGATTTACATAATTTTGCATAACAATTCATATTAGGCTTAACAAGGATTTAACAAATTTGATAACTTATATTCCTTTGTTTAGGTACAATCGGGTTCAACAAGATACGAACATAAAATCTGGTCTTTAAATATGTAAGAAAATTATGACTCACTAGTGTCAAGTATTTATTAGTTGCCTATTTGGTTTTGAAGAGAGAAAAATGGCCAGTGATGGTGAAAAATTATTTTCAAATAGGAATTGCTCTGTCATTTTGAAACCCTCCTTTGGACAATACTGAAAATTATTATGAATGATACAGAATTAACTATGCTAGATTATATATCTTTAAAATGTGTTTTATTTCTTTAACACTGTCCAAAAAAATATGATACTAGTAAATGCATATAGCCTAGCGTTCTCTAACTTAAAACAAGCACAACAAGCTTACGCTACTTTTAGTTTTAAAATATACATCTGGTCTTAACATTTATGCATAGAGTTTCAGCAAGAAGCTCTTTAAAGCAACTTGTTATAACTGAAGGGGTGTTACTGGATGCAGGGTTGACACGTTCTCCCTACTGTTTTCTACCTGACCATCCGCTAGTTAGCTGAATTTGCAAACTGTGTCTT